CCCTGAGGATATAGACCCTTATGAATAAGGCCTCTGTTTAAGAGAAGAGGGTTCAGAAGGGCTCCCCTTTGAGGGTCTCCCTTCTCCTACCTAGGATATCCCGAATACATCATCCCTCCACCATTCGAGCCATAAGTTGTCACGCTGCAACGATCGTCAACGTGGGAGACGCTTTCCGGCCGCGAGTGGCCTAGCGAAGGTGACAGCAGGGGGCGGGTGACGGGGAGCTGTCGGGCCATCAGCAAAGCTGAGGAGTCGATAGGGCTTGGTGTTTAGGGTTTAGGGTTTAGGGTTTAGGGCTTAGGGCTTAGGGTTTAGGGTTTAGGGTTTAGGGCTTAGGGTTTAGGGCTTAGGGCTTATAGGGCTCAGGGCTTCCTGGCTGCTGCAAGCCGATGTGTCCGCAGCATGTACGATTGCCGCTGATTGCCCCCAGACCCTGCCCGCAAAATTCAGAGGCTGGGGCCTGTCCACATGCCGTAGATCTAGCAAGCCCCGGGCCAGTAACCTCAATAACCCTGCTTCAACGGCAGCGAACACGGAAGACACCAGGAGGAGGCGGCAATGTCGTGCTCACATGGTCTGATGCAGCCGCAGACCCGGCAGGGCCTTTCAACTCAAAAGCAAGTCAGAACGACTACGCCCAGGCAGAGAACGCGCTCTCCTCTGCAAGCAACAGCCCGAGCTTCTGAAGGGCGCATCCCGCTGTTAGCAGGGCGCCAGCGACCCCGAGCCCAGCTTCGAAGCTAGCCTGGGGAGACTCGCATCATCACTGGTCCAGCTGCCTTTGTCTTGCCACAAGGGCGCGGGTCAAATCTGCCTCTGGGCGTGGCGCGCGCCATCATGCGGACTCAGCTGCGGAGACAGACGTTGCCGCAAGCCAGGGCAAGAGTCCTAGCGCCTTCGACTCAGGGCGGCTCCATGAAGTGGGGCGTGGTGACACCCGGAGCTCAAGGGCCCTGTCATGGGGCTAGCTTCGAGGGTAAGGCGCCGTCACACCTGTTTTGCCCATAGGGTTCGGCACCCAGAGTTGAACTCGTGACACTCGTCCTGTGTAAGCACAGTGGCAGGGCTTATGGAGCACTGGAATCACCGTTTCTGCCGACAAGCCCATGGAACAGCTTCATACTGCCGGTGGAGAGAAGCCGGAAGGCATGCGCGACTCTTGCAACGTGCAAAAACACAGCAAGCACGTTGCCGGCTCTTGCCCTGATCTGGTGCCATGTAGCAACAGGAAGAGAGTGCAGCTGGCGCAAGCAGCGTCAGCAACGATCAGGCGACAACGCGGCACCCGCGCTCAGGGATGCCGCACCATGGGCCAAGTTGAACAGCCCACGCCGCAACAAGTCGCGCTGACGCACGGTATCACATGGCGCTCGTCCGTATCAGAATCCTTGGCAGCAGATTGTTGCACAGAAACAAGAGAGTTAGCTAACTTTAACTCTAAAAAGTGACGTACCTCCCTCATCTGATGTGAACCGGGCCTTACACTTACCCCAAACCCTAAACCCTAAACCCCAAACCCTAAACCCTAAACCCTAAACCCTAACCTTCGATTGCAAGGAACTTCCGCTGCAGGATGCTCCCGGTCAAGTCGAGGCTGGCGCCGCTGAACGGCGATTGCACGATCGGGCGCGGCGCCATGGGGCTTTGACTATGTGTCCTTAATAGGTTTAGGGTTTAGGGTTTAGGGTTTAGGGTTTAGGGTTTAGGGTTTAGGGCTTAGGGTTTAGGGCTTAGGGCTTAGGGTTTAGGGTTTAGGGCTTAGGGGTACCCCCGTATTATAATCCCTATTCAGGACTGTTAGAATAAGAGGTTTAGGGCTAGGTGTCCCCAAGCCCCTTAGCCTAGTGGGGGTTTACGAAAATAGGGGACCCCTAAGATGGACCCCCGAATAGTAGGATTCCCTGATAAGAAGGACCCCAACCAGGGATACACTGAACACTCTATAGCGGAAGCCAATGGCCAGGTCATAAGATAGATGCGAAGCTGCTGTGCAAAATTTCACGAGCCTTGGCGACTTCACTGTCTTGTGTTGATGCGGTGTAGGGTTTGGGGTTTAGGGTTTAGGGTTTAGGGTCTAGGGTTTAGGGTTTAGGGTTTAGGGTTTAGGGTTTAGGGTTTAGGGTTTAGGGCTTAGGGGCAACGAGGTTCTCTGTACTTCCGGGTCACAGTGGGCTGTAACTTCCAGCAGACAGCACGACGCAAGGCTTTTGCCCCGCAGCATCCACCTGCTCGCATCAGTTGTTAAGTACCGTTATTTATTTGGCTAGTAAGTACAGTTATAGAGTACAGTTATGAGGACAGTTATAAAGTACAGATATATTTGGCTAGTAAGTACAGTTATAGAGTACAGTTAGATGTGGTTAGCAAGTACCATGAACCTCCAAGTACTGTGCAAGAAGCCTCCCCTCGCGGCTTCCAAGCCGCAAGGGGCTGCCCGCCTTTCGTGGCGTAAGGTGCGTAAGCTGCAATACTCGAAAACTGAACCCTAAACCCTAAACGCTAAACGCTAAACCCTAAACCCTAAACCCTACCTGGACATGGAAGTCCGAAGTTTTGGCCGCTCAAAGTCTGCAGTCGGGCGCAGCTCCCCACTCATCCTGGGCAGCTGAAGGCTCAAGGTTTGGGGTTTATGGTTTAGGGTTTAGAGTTTAGGGTTTAGGGTTTAGGGTTTAGGGTTTAGGGTTTAGGGTTTAGGGTTTAGGGTTTAGGGTTTGGGGGATATGGTTCCGGGTAAAGGGAATAAGCAGGGGTTGAAGAAGGCAATAGGGCTTCAGGGACTGCAGCGGTCGGCGTCAGGGCTTCAGCTGAACCCAACAGGGTTTCGGGTTTCGGGTTTCGGGTTTAGGGTTTAGGGTTTAGGGTTTAGGGTTTAGGGTTTAGGGTTTAGGGTTTAGGGTTTAGGGTTTAGGGTTTAGGGTTTAGGGTTTAGGGTTTAGGGTTTAGGGTTTAGGGTTTAGGGTTTAGGGGTTTAGGGTTTAGGGTTTAGGGTTTAGGGTTTAGGGTTTAGGGTTTAGGGTTTAGGGTTTAGGGTTTAGGGTTTAGGGGTACTTATTAACCAATTATAACTGTACTTATAACCCACTATAAGTACAGTTATAAGTACAACCCACTATAAGTACAGTTATAAGTACAGTTCTAATTGGTTCATAAGTACCATGAACCCCCAAGAGGAGCTTAGGCGGTGGGGGCTTCAGCGGCTAGGGTATGCAGGGCTTCTGTAGGGCATCGGGTATAGGTTCCCTAAACCCCTAAACCCTAAACCCTAAACCCTGAACCCTAAACCCTAAACCCTAAACCCCTAAAACAGGGGTCTTTCAAGCGAAGAGTTTCTAAGCTTCCTTTTTTCGCGGCACCTCGCCGTCAGGGTCCTTCGAGCTCCCCCTTGCGCAGAGGACGGGGCGCCAAACAGCCGGCAGACATTCAAACGCTGCACCAATGTGTCGAACCCCCTTCGGGCCCAAGGCTCGGAGCTTCGTTCTGAGACACGTCTAGTTTAAGGAACTTGTAACGTTGAGGGACTAGGGTTCAGCGCCTAGGGTTAGAGTTGAGGGTTTAGGGTGAAAAAATCTTGGGGTGCCTCTAGAGTACACAGGGTTTATATCGGGCATATAGAGTATATGAAGATACGTAGGGCTTCGGCGGGTATATGGGGTCTAGTCTAATTACAGGGTCTTCGTTTTTTTCTTCTAAGATTTAGGAGCTCTGTCACCAAGCCCCTCTTCTCGCAGTTTCTTTGGGGACAATTGAACTTGGGTGGGCTGGGGGCCCTATGAATTTGATGGCTTTATAAGTATTGTACAGGGCAGTAAGGGTACTAATCAAAAAACATGTTCAAACCCGGGCTTAGGGCTTAGGGTTTAGGGTTTAGGGTTTAGGCTTTAGGGTTTAGGCTTTAGGGTTTAGGCTTTAGGGTTTAGGGTTTAGGGTTTAGGGTTTAGGGCTGTTTAGGCGTTTGGTGTTGGGGGTGAGTGTTTGAGGTACCACCTAGTGACCTAGTCGTGCGTGACGCTGCCAGAAGTTGGGTACGCACAATGGCTGGCAGCGGCGGAGATGAACTTCCATACACTGTTCAGGAGAGCTGCTTTCCAGATGCCTTTTCAAACACTCAGCGCAAAGTCCCCGGGCCACCTGCTAGAACCTCTAGACCCTACCTAAACCCTAAACCCTAAACCCTGAACCCTAAACCCTAAACCCTAAACCCTAAGCCCTAAACCCTAAACCCTAAACCCTAAACCCCCCAAACCCTCGAACGGCGGGCGATCTCACAAATGCTCGGGACAGCCCAGAAGCAAAGTGAGAGAGCGCCCGCCGCATCTGGAAGCTGCCGGTGCAATCGCCTTCTCCCTCGACTCCGAGGCTTATGGGGTTTATAGGGTTTAGGGTTTAGGGTTTAGGGTTTAGGGTTTAGGGTTTAGGGTTTAGGGTTTAGGGTTAACCGCGCCCGGTAGAAGCAACTTGTAGAAGTGAATCCGTATACAAAGAGAACCCCAGGAAGGGAACCTGGCTTAGAACAATCTTCTCCAGGGCAATGCACCTGTGCGGTTGCCTACAGATCACCATGCAAGCTTAAAAATCATCGCCATACGCCGAATGAGCGCAGGGGTAGACGGAGCACATGCGCCGGCGACCAAACAAAAAAGACGGTACATCAGTCACCTCATCTTCCGTCCCTCCCCCACACCTCAAGTACTTCATGCGCATGCTCGTTGTCTCGGCTCCTGTCCGCGTTGCCGAGATGGCAGGCAAAAGTCTTTAGCGGTTCAGCAGCCGTGCTAGGCACAGGGGCCCATGAGTTTGCCACTGAAGACGATGTGACAACGCACCAAGAAAAATCTGGCAAGCAGCCAGACGGGGGCGCGTCCTTCAACATCGGCAGTATGCCGACAAGATCGAGTAAAATTTGAAGCACATTCAGGGTGAGACACTTCGCAAAGACACGGTGAAAGCCGCATCAAATTGAGCCGTAGAGCTCCATGGACCTCAGCTCCCCAAAGAATTCACGCGACGATGTGGTGCACATCACTGAGCTCCGTCTCGTCCATCTCGTTCAGGGCGTGGAGGAAGAGGCGCGCATGAATCATCAGCTCCGCCGAGAGCTCCGCATGCCCCGCCGAGATGGACAGCAGCTGCTCCGGGCTCAAGCACAGAAGGCTCGTGCACGTCCCCGCGACAGCGTAGCCCAGGTAGTGCCAGTTGGTCCATAAGCATGCCTCGCACAACCAATGCCGCGGAACGACTCGCAAGACCGCGCTGTCCTTCGACACCTTCCGGTCGGGCACCACCCCACGCACCCCGGAGACCCCAGTCCCAAGATTCAGCCACGAAGACCCCCGAGGAAGCGTCCACGTCCGGGCGCTCAGGGGATTGCTCCGTTCGGCGTGCGTCACCATGCCTAGACCCAGGAGTAGCCTAGGAATAAAAAAGCGTGCCGTTTTTTGGTGCTAAGGGGGCTATAAGGGAAGCCCAACCCTAAAAAAGGACATCAGGACCTACTCCGGGTCCTAGTATCCCTAAGCGCTAAACCCTAAACCCTAAACCCAATAAGGTCTAGATACTGCCCCGCTTGTAGAGCACAAAGTTGAAGGCAACAAAGAGCATCCTCTGGCAGAAGAGCCCGGGCGAAAACAGCGCCTCGTTGGGGGCCACCGTCCAGTCTTCGAGACCTTCGGGGTTAGGGTTTAGGGGTTCGGGTGCTTTGGGCTTTGGGTTGTGGGCTTAGGTTTAGGGTTTAGGGTTAGGGTTTTGGGTTTAGGGTTTAGGATTTTGGGTTTGGGGTTTAGGGTTAGGGTTTCGGGTTTCGGGTTTCGGGTTTAGGGTTTAGGGTTTAGGGTTTAGGGGTGGGCTACGTTCCTTGTTACCACAGTGCCCCTTTGGGCTTCAGAGGGCGTACCGTTCTTTGGCGAATATTCTGCCCCACCTTTCATGCAAAGGTCTCGCTGGAAGCTGGGATACTTCACCATGAGCCCCGCCAGCATCTGATGGCGGCCGATGACGGCCCCAAACGACTCGGCAAAAAGCTGCCCATGGAGCAACTCGGGAAGAAGCAGAGCGATATCTCCTTGGCTGACCTCTGAGCCCCCTCTTAAAGGTTTAGCTTTTGGGCTCCTTATTGTGGTTTCTACAGAAACCCCAGAAAGTTTTAAAGTCCTAAGAGCCAGCCGGAAGAAAGCCAAGTCTCGCTTGCTGGGCAGGTAGACTCTCTTGACCGTCTGCTTCAGGTAGCCTTTCAACTGTCGCTCCAAGGCCCAGGACACCGGAAATGTTTCCAGGAAGTCCTGGGTAGCCCAGTCACCAGATTACAACAAAGGGCACACGTGTTTTGGGTCGGTTACTTTACAAGGGGACCCTAAACCCTAAACCCTAAACCCGAAACCCGAAACCCTAAACCCTAAACCCTAAACCCTGAACCCTAAACCCTAAACCCTATAAGCCCAAGAGTCAGAAAGCTGGCAGTCAGCCTCCCCCTGCTGCCTCTGCACGCGGCGGATGTCCGAGAGATCGTTGGTCACGATCGACGTGAACATTGAGACCTAGCTTGCTAAGGGAGGGGCTTACGGGTGTTTGGGGTCTGGGGTTACCCTAAACCCTAAACCCTAAACCCTAAACCCCTTGCAGTCACGGATCCATCAGGAGGATCATGGCCGTTGCTGAGAGGGCCAGGCCTGGCAAGCGCTCTCTGCGAGATTCTCGTGACAGCTTTGGGTTTCGGGTTTAGGGTTTCGGGTTTAGGGTTTCGGGTTTAGGGTTTAGGGTTTAGGGTTTAGGGTTTAGGGTTTAGGGTTTAGGGTTTAGGGTTTAGGGTTTAGGGTGTAGGGTGTCGGAGGCTCACAATAGTACGTATAACTTATAACCCCCATTGCTAACTGCGCCTAGAAGCCCTAAGTCCTCTAAGTAGGTTACAAGTAGGCCTGCAGTTGGGGTTCTGAGCACCCATGAACCTCCGAGTAATAGGGACTGACGTGAAGGGTGCAGAATATTGGGGAAAGCTAAGAAGGGTATAGCTCCCTAATTCCCTGGTAAGAGCAGACCCGAAACCCTAAACCCGAAACCCTAAACCCTAAATCCTAAGCCCTAAACCCTAAACCCCAAACCCCAAACCCCAAACCCTAAACCCTAAACCCTAAACCCTAAACCCTGCACCGACTCCGGAGCCAGGCATGCTCTGAACAAGCACCTGCCTCGATCCGTCTGCGAGGTGAGCAGGACGTTGTCCGTGGTCTTGGACGGAGGGATCCTGTACTCAAGGAGGGACCCTAGAAGCTTCGGGTTTAGGGTTTAGGGCTTAGGGCTTAGGGTTTAGGGTTCTGGGTGTTTGGGGGCGATTTGGGTACCTTATACCCCTGAAATCCTGGAAATGGCCCACTCCAGCGTAACGCGGTACTGCTCCAGGGTTGACAGGTCCATGAAGTCAGAAGGCCCCTCGGTGTGGACCCATCCATCCGAGGCTCGGCCGGACGCAAACCTTACTGTTGGTGAGTCGGGAAATGGGGGGAAATAAGGTACCATCTATATAACCCCTAAATGGGTATATAGGGCAAGAAACCAGGCGCAGGTCAGCCAGTGAAGGCCGATCAGGCACATGACGATCGTGGAGAAGACGTTCCATGCCGCACGCACCTTCAGCCTTCTGAGTTCGCCTGCCACACGCACGACAGCATGAGACACACATCGCGACGAATAGTGCGCCACAGATCTGCAACCAGACCGTAAGACCCTAAGACCGTAGGACCGTAAGACCGTACGACCGTGTGCTTCTTCAGCCTGCTTGGGACCCCCCCGAAACCCCAAACCCCCCAAACTCCAAAACCCCAAACCCCAAGAAACCCCCTAAACCCTAAACCCTAAACCCTAAACCCTAAACCCTAAACCAAAAACCCTAAACCCCCTCAAACAGGCCTCGGTTCCATCTGGCGAAGATGCGCGAGAGCCCCCGGAAGGCGTCGATCTCGGAGCTGTGCCGCAGGCGGAGGATCTCAGGCCCTGGAGGGGGGCACTTTATGGGGGGAATATAGGGTTTAGGGTTTAGGGTTTAGGGTTTAGGGTTTAGGGTTTAGGGTTTAGGGTTTAGGGTTTAGGGGTCGGAAAAATTACTTGTTGTATTCCCTTGTGGTGCCTTCATAATTAAACTAATAATAACCCCAAGACCCTATTCGAATTATTGAGGCCCCTGTGCTGCTCACTGGGCCAGAGCTCGAAGCCTAATCAGTCTAATGTCTATGACATTCTATGGCTCAAGACCACAACTACCGAGAACTTGATGCGGAATCTCGGAACTATCGAGCCTCGAAGCAGAAACTGCACATGGACTGAAGGGCTGCTTCCCGCCACGGCGGCGCAGATGAGCAAGATCAGAAGCACGACCTCCAGAAGCACATTCCCAAGGGAGATCAAGTCAGCGTAACTGCAAGAGATGCTCCGCGATGTCCAAAACATTGGCAGGCTTAGCCTTGCGTAGGCTTAAGGGCTCTACAGGTTAAAATGTCGATTTTTTATGGCTTTTTATAAGGATTGTGCAGGGGATTAAGGGCAATAAATCAAAAAAAATCTGTTCAAACCTACCCATGTAGCGTCCAGAAGATGATCCGAAGTAGCTCCATCACCCAAGGCTCATGGAAGGACAACGCGAGCAAAGGTATGGAGATGCAGTCCCAAAACAGAACAGCCGCAACCCCAGCAGCCCAGAAGCGCCTCCAATTCGACGGCCGGCTGTGTGAGATGTCATAGACCACAGCGATGGTGGTGGATATGGTCTTCGTACCCTTGCTATTGATTCGGTATTTGCCCAGCTCTTGATGCCGCTTCGTCCATGATAGACCGAGCTTGAAGCCAGTGGTGTCGTCTTCTTCCTCCTCCTCCTCTACCCCAGAGCTCAGCAAGGATCGCTGGGAGGCAATGGAGGATTCTGGCTGAAATTGCACTGGCTTCGTCTTCGGCGGCTCCACTCGCCTCGCGCAAGGTGCTGGTGCAGGCTCAGGCACCAGGTGCGGGTCTGAGGGAGGCGCGGAAGGAGTCGACTCTTCTCTGGACTCTCTAGATGAAAGCACGGATCGGGGCCCCGCGTCCACGGAATGGACTGCCCGGTGCTCACCTTCATGTGACGCCAGCAAGCCCTGAATGAGTTGCTCAATTTGTCCCATGACAAGCTTCACCCTGCCGTTCGTGTCGTCCGCCATGGCGCGGTCCCTAAGGGAGCACTGTATGCCTACGGAAGCTTTGAGCCGAAACAAGACACGGGGGGGGAATAGGGGTACCCCAAAAGGGGTCCCTGCGAAAGGGGGCTTCTACTCTATCTAGGGGTAGAAAAAGAGGGGTACCCCTATTTTGGGAAATGCCACATGTGGCACGACCAAGGAGCCCGGGGAGTAAATGTGACCCCCCCCCCCCCCCCCCCCGAAAACATCAACTGCACCCTTAAACCCTTAAACCCTTAAACCCTTAAACCCTTAAACCCTTGGACCCTTAGACCCTTAAACCCTTAAACCCTTAAACCCGAAACCTAAACCTTAAACCCTAAACCCTAAACCCTAATCCGAAAGCCCCTCCCCCAAGAAAACAGCCTGCGGCCTTCCAGGCCCCAAGTAGCAGGCACTTAGCATCTCCCATTCGGGTAGTCACGGGGTTCAGGGTTCAGTGTTCAGGGTTCAGGGTTCAAGGTTTAGGGATTAGGGTTTAGCGTTTAGGGTTTAGGGTTTAGGGTTTAGGGTTTAGAGTTGTGGGTTTAGGGTTGAGGGAACTACTGTCTGCAGATCCCCACATATATCAATCATGATGGATGAGAGTGACGAACGAAACTCAACTTGCCTTCTGCTTTGCAAGGCTAAACCCTTTTCGAGGTCCAACTCCAAGAATCTGGGTAACACGCTTGCGGATGAGTACCCAAGCATCTGTGACGGAAAATGGGGGTGTAGGGCTTCAGGGTCTATCAGCAAGAACGAGACTACCAAAGAAGCCCAGAAGGAGCGAACAGCTCAGTCACCTGTGCTTGATGAGGGGCGTGCAGCAGCGTCACAGAGTCCGAGTTTTTGTCGACCTCAAGTGGAATCACCCGGCTCGCAGGGTTTAGGGCGTAGGGTTTAGGGCTTAGGGCTTAGGGTTTAGGGTTTAGGTTTCAGGGTTCAGGGTTCAGGGTTTAGGGTTTTGGGTTTTGGGTTTAGGGTTTAGGGTTTAGGGTTGAGGGTTTGGGGTTTAAACCTACCCGGGATCTGAGCAGGAGCGCAGGCATTAAAGTAATCCGACCGGCGTGTCATCCCTTGCCAACCTTGGGCTTACGTGCGCTGCGAAGGGGCAGCCGCTGTTCGCTGAACCCTAAACCCTAAACCCTAAACCCTAAACCCCAAAGAGACGTGCAAGCACCGTACCGTGCACTGCAGGCCTTTCGACGCTGGGCGCTCGGCCGCAACATCCCTGAAGCACGCCAGGGAAAGAAGGGTTTAGGGTTTTGACAAGGGGGTAGGGTTTAGGGTTTGAGGTTTAGGGTTTAGAGTTTAGGGTTTAGGGTTTAGGGTTTAGGGTTTAGGGTTTAGGGTTTAGGGTTTCGGGGGTTGAGGGTTGAGGGGTGGTGGCGGTGATGGAGAATCGCAGAAGGAACCCATGCAAAGAGGGCAGTTTTACAAAGCCCGAAGCGGGCTTCAAAGAGGGTTTGCATGTCCCAAAAAATCCGAAGAGTAGAGTATAAACCTACATATGTATAATATATATATATATGTATGTATGTATGTATACATACATATATAGGGGGTACCATATACATACAAATATATGCTCACCCCCCCCCCCATGATCTAGGTCGAAAGGCCTTTCGGGCCCATCGAAGCGAGATTTAAACCTAAGTCGGGATGAAAATTAAAAGGCCACTGGCCTCATTCGTAGTAAATTTTTTTAGAAATCTAAATTTGCCAATTAAAAGCCGCACCCTCTGAAATCCTCTTCTGGGGCCTGCCTGTCCGGAACAAAATCTCACAAGAGCTTTATATGCAGAGGTTACAGCCTCAGAAATCCTCATCTGGGCTTCCTTCCTATTTTATTGAGAAAATGCTTCTACATAAGAAGCCCACACCCTACGAAAAGAATTCTATACTTAAAGGCCACACCCTATGAAATCCTCTTCTGGGCCCTCTTAATGAAATTTCAGTAGACTTGTGTCTGATAAAGCCACAGCTTCGTTCGTAATTAACCCAAGTAAAAAAACATATTAAGAGGCCCAGCCCCAAGACATCCTCTTCTAAGCCTCATTGATTAATACCTATTTAGAACATTTTTGTTTTTCCCACACCCTGTGAAATCTTTCGCTGGCCCCATTCGTAATGAAACGCAATTTGATTTCATATTGTAAGCCCACACCCTAAGAAATCCTCTTCTGGGCTTCGTTCGTAATTGAACCCAAGTAAAGCAAGTGTATATTCAGAGGCCAACCCCAGGACATCCTCCTCGCAATGAAACCGAGTTAGAATTCTATATTGCAGACCATACCCTATGAAATCCCTTTCTGGCCCCTATTTGTAATGAAGATTAATTAGAATTCTGTATTACAAAGCCACACGCCAAGAAATCCTCATTAGACCTTCGTTTGTAATTAGACTTATTTTCGATTTGCCAAGATGCTTGTATTAAAAAAGCCACACCATTCTGGGGCCTGTTCGTAACAGAATCTCGTAAGAAGTTTATAATTCTAGGTAAGAAGCCCACACCCTAAGAAGTTCTGACCTAGGCTAGGTTCGTATGTAACTCTTGGACAGAAATTTATATCATGAGCCCCCATTCGTATTTGAATGTACTTACAATTCCATATTTAACCGCTAGACCCTATGAAATCCTCTTCTGGTGCCTATTAGTGAAATGTCAATAGACTTGTATATGATAAAGCCATAGCTTCGTTAGTAAATTAAGCCCAAGTCAAACAAACAAATTAAGAGGCCCCGCCACAAGACATCCTCTTCTAAGCTTCATTGGTTAATACCTATTTGGAATTTATTTTGCAGACCACACCCTATGAAATTCTCCCCTGGCCTCGCTTCATACTACAATGTTATTTGAGGTTTGTATTAAAACGCCACACCCTAAGAAATCCTCGTCTGGACTCGTTTGGAATTCCACTTAAATTGAATTTTAAGTTTTGAGGCCACACCCCTTTGGACAGAATTTAAAAGGCCACACCCTAAGACCTGTGTATGGTAAAGCCACAGCTTCGTTCGTAAAACCAAACCAAGTAAAACAATTAAGAGGCCACGCCCTTCTAAGCCTCATTCGTTACTACCTCTTTGGAATTTTATTTTACCGACCACACCCTGTGAAAGTCTCCTCTGGCCCCGCTTCGTAATGAAATGTAATTTGAGGTTTGCACTAAAACACCACACCCTAAGAAATCCTCAACTGGACTTCCTTTGTGATTCCACTTAAATAGACGTTTAAATTAAGAGGCCACACCCCAAGACATCCTCTTCGAAGCCCCACTCTTTTTTAAGTCCAATTAGACTTTTGAATTGCAGGTCCACATCCTCAAAAGAACCACACCCTAAGAAACCCTCTCTATTTCTTTTTTTTATTACTTTTCATATTAAGACGCCACATCCCAAGACATCCTCTTCTAAGCCTCATTCGTAATTAAATCTAATGGAACTTTACATGTTAACGCCACGCCCTGCATACCGAATAGGCTGAATTGAAAAAAAAAACGAATGGTGGGTGTGTTTGTGTGCTTTTCTCTGTGTGTGTGCAAGGCAGTCACATCAGCAGAAACAACGTATAACAATACACATTCTTTATACAAGAAAAGCATTTTTTGCAAAATTTGCTAAAAAATACCCAAAAATCCAAAAATCCAAAAATTCAAAACCATGGAGCCGGGAGGCCGCCTTTTTTGGATTTTTTGGTTTTCTCGAGGTTTTTTTGGTTTTTTTTGGAAAAATCCAAAAAAAACCATGTGTTTTTTTGGATTTTACTTGCTCCTGGCCTCAAAAACCTAAAAAACACATGGTTTTTTTTGGATTTTGAGTGAAAATCCAAAAAAACCCATGTGTTTTTTTAGTTTCTGAGACCAGGAGCACCTGAAATCCAAAAAAACACGAGGGTTTTTTTGGATTTTCACTCAAAATCCAAAAAAAACCATGTGTTTTTTAGGTTTTTGAGGCCAGGAGCAAGTAAAATCCAAAAAAACACATGGTTTTTTTTGGATTTTTCCAAAAAAAACCAAAAAAACCTCGAGAAAACCAAAAAATCCAAAAAAGGCGGCCTCCCGGCTCCATGGTTTTGAATTTTTGGATTTTTGGATTTTTGGATTTGTGTCAAATTTTGCAAATTCTGCAAAAAAGAAGTGTTTTTTGCATACAAGTCTGTGTTTATAAGCCTGTCCTATGCAAATAATTCATAGACATGTTTACCAAATTGTGTTTTTTGGGTGTTTTTTTATGTGGTGATGTGGAAGTAGTGCTAAACACACGCGTTTTTCACTATTTAGATGTTTTCTCGCATAGGACTAGACGTGCAAAAACAGGACATCGCCTAGCATAGCCAGCATGTCATTTTAATCGGTATTTACGAGGGTTTTTATAGGGACAAAGCAAAACCTAGATCATGGGGGGGGGGGGGTGACCAAATATATATATATATATATATGGGAGGTCCCACACACACACACACACACATATATATATGTAAGAGGAACCTTTACGTATCATTTGACCTTTGTTCTTGCCTCCTTACTCCAATATAAAGAATTAGAAATTTAACAAATTCAGGCCTTAAGCCGAAACTCCTAACTTCCTAATTCCTTGAAATTAGGAATTAATGAATTTAGGAGTTTCGGCTTAAGGCCCGAATTCCTAAATTCCTAAATTCCTGATTCCCCGGAATTAGGAATTGAGGAATTTAGGAGTTTCGGCTTAAGGCCTGAATTCCTAAATTCCTCAATTCCTAATTCCCGGGAATTAGGAATTTAGGAATTTCGGCTTAAGGCAAAAACTCCTAAATTCCTCAATTCCTAATTCCAGCGGGCCAGAAACCCAGAGGAATTAGAACTTCTGAAATTCCTTGAATTCCTTAAATTTCTAAATTCCTAATTCCCGGAATTAGGAATTTAGGAATTTAAGGAATTCAAGGAATTTCAGAAGTTCTAATTCCTCTGGGTTTCCGGCCCCCTGGAATTAGGAATTTAGGAATTTAGGAGTTTTGGGCCTGT